ACTGGATGAGAGGAATTGGTGCAGGAGAGGAAGCAGGGTTGGAGGGGAGGAATTGGAGAGGAATTGGAGAGGAATTTGGAGGGGAGTAGGGGAGAGGAATTCAGGAGTGGGGGAATGAGTTGGAGGAGAGTCCTTGGGGTGGGTGGGGGGAGGAGTTTAAAAAGGATTTGGGGAGGGGCGAAGGTGGGGGAGAGAACTTGGGGAGACTGAGGCGGAGGAGTTGGAAAGAGGAATGGGGAGGGAAAAGGGGAGGATGTGGGGGACAGGAAGTGGGAGTGTGAGGATGTGGAGTTGGAGCAAGTTAATTGATGGGGGGAGGTTGAGGGAGCGCAGTTGGGGAGGGCGAGTGGGAGGAAGAGGAGAGAAAAATTGGGGAGCGGTAGGTACAGGGAAGAGGAACAGGGAAGGGGAGGGGGAGGAATAGGGGAGAGGAACGGGGAAGGGGAGAGGCAAGAATAGGGAGGGTGGATTGGGGAGGAGGAGAGGGAGGAATAGAGGAGAGGCATTGGGGAGGAGGAAGGGAAGGAATTGGGGGGAAGAATTGTGGAGGGGGAATGTAAGGAATTGGGGGAGAGCAATTTGAGAGTGTGAAGTGGAGGAATAGGGGAGAGGCATTGGGTAGGGGGAAGGGAAGGGATTGGGGGAGAGGAATTGGGGAGGAGAAGGGAAGAATTGGGGAGAGGAATTTGGGAGGGGGATGGGAAAAAATTGGAGAGGAATTTGGTGGGGTAGGGAAGGAATTGGGAAGAGGAATTGGGGGGTAAGTGAAGTAATTGGGGGAGAGGGATTTGTGAGGGTGAAGTGGGTGAATAGGGGAGAGGAATCGGAGAGGGTGAAGGGAAGGAATTGGGGTGAGGAATTGGGAGAGGGATGGCAAGAAATTGGAGAGGAATTGGGGTGGGGAAAGGAAGGAATTGGGGAGAGGAATTGGGGTGGGGGAAGGGAAGGAATTGGGGAGAGAATTGGGGAGGAGGAAGGGAAGGAATTGGGGGAGAGATTTTGGGGAGGGTAAAGTGGAGGAATAGGGTAGAGGAATTGAGGAGGAGGAAGGAAAGGTATTGAGGGTTAGAAACTGGGGAAGGGGAAGGGAAGGAATTGGGGGAGAGGAATTGGGGAGGGTGGCGGAATTGGGAAAGAGAAAATTGGAGGAGAGGAATTTGAGAGGGGGACGGAAAAATTGGAGAGGAATTTGGTGGGGTAGGGAAGGAATTGGGGAGAGGAATTGGGGATGGGGAAGGGAAGAAATTGGGTCAGGAATTTTGTGGGGCAAAGGGAATGAACTGGGGGAGACGAAATGGGAGGGGGAGGGAGGGAATTCAGGAGAGGAACTGAGGGGTAAGTGAAGTAATGGGGGAGAGGGATTTGTGAGGGTGAAGTGGATGAATAGGGGAGAGGAATTGGGGAGGCTGAAGGGAAGGAATTGGGGTGAGGAATTGGGAGGGGGATGGCAAGAAATTGGAGAGGAATTGGGGAGGAGGAAGGGAAGGAATTGGGGAGAGGAATTGGGGTGGAGGAAGGGAAGGAACTGGGGGAGAGGAATTCAGGAAGGGGAAGGAAAGGAATTGGGGGAGAGGAATTGGGGAGGTGTAAGGGATGGAATTGGGGGAGAGGAATTTGTGAGGGTAAAGTGGAGGAAAAGGGCAGAGGAATTGGGGAGGGTGAAGCGAGGGAATTGGGGGAGAGGAATGGGGAGGGAGAAGGGAACGAAGTGGGGGAAAGGAATTAGGGAGAGTAAAGTGGAGGAACAGTGAGAGGAAATCGGGAGGGTGTGGGGGAAGAATAGTGGGAGGAGAATTGTGGAGGGAAAGGGGGAGGTATAGAGGAGAGGAATTGGGCTGGGTTGTGGAAAAATATGGGAGATGAATTGGGGAGAGTGTGGGGGAGGAATTAAATTTCGGAGAGGAATTGGAGAGGGGGCGGGAGAGTAATTGGGAAAGAGGAATT